ATAAAAAACTCTATTAGACCTAAAGAAGGAAGTAGATACTAACACCATAAGATCAGGGGACCTGAACATCCCACTGTCAATATTGGACAGATCATCTAGGCAAAGAATCAGTAGATCTAAACAACACTCTAGACCAATTGGAGTTGGCAGATATCTACAGAACACTCCATCCAACAACCTCAGAATATTCATTCTTCTCATCAGCACATGCATCATTCTCCAGGAAAGATCACGTTAGGTCACAAATCAAGTCTCAACAAATTCAAAAAAATTGGAATTATCCCATGTATTTTTTCAGATCACAATGGATTAAAATTAGAAATCAATAACAAATGAAATTCTGGAAACTATACAAACACATGGAAATTAAATAGCATTCTACTTAATGACATACGGGTCCAAGGAGAAATCAAAAAATTTACTGAAACTAATGAAAACAATGATACATCATACCAAAACCTGTGGGATACTGCAAAAGCAGTACTAAGGAAGAAATTTATCACATTAAATACTTACTTCAGAAGAATGGAAAGATGGCAAGTGAACAACCTAACACGTCACCTTAAAGAACTAGAAAAACAAGAACAATCCAAACCCAAAGTTAGCAGATGGAAACAAATCATTAAGATCAGAGCAGAACTTAATGAAATTGAAACCCAAAAAGATGATACAAAAGATCAACGAATCAAAAAGTTGGTTTTTTGAAAAGATGAATAAAATTGACAAACCATTAGCATGGGTAACTAAAAAAAGAAGAGAGAAGATCCAAATAACAAAAATTAGAAATGAAAAAGGTGATATTACAACTGATACCTCAGAAGTACAAGGAATCATTAGAGACTACTATAAACAACTATGTGCCAACAAATTTGAAAATCTGGAGGAAATGGATAAATTTCTGGACACACACAAACTACCAAAACTGAGCCAAGACGATGTAGAAAATCTGAACAGACCAATAACAATAAAAGAGATTGAAGCTGTTATCAGAAGGGTCCCAACAGAGAAAAGCCCAGGACCAGATGGACTCACAGCAGAATTCTACCAAACATTCAAAGAGGAATTGGCATCAATTCTCTACAAACTATTCCAAAAGACTGAAACAGAGGCAATTCTCCCAAACTCATTCTATGAAGCAAACATCACCCTGATACCAAAACCAGGTAAAGATACAACTGAAAAAGAAAACTACAGGCCAATATCCTTGATGAATATAGATGCATAAATCCTCAATAAAATACTAGCTAACAGAATACAGCAACACATATGCAAAATTATACACCATGATCAAGTGGGATTGTTCTCAGGGATGCACGGTTGGTTCAACATACGCAAATCAATAAATGTGACACACCATATCAATAAAATCAAAGACAAGGACCATATGATCATTTCTAGAGATGCTGAAAAAGCATTTGATAAAATTCAATACTTGTTCATGATAAAGACTCTCTACAAGTTAGGTATAGATGGAAAGTATCTCAACATAATTAAAGCCATATATGATAAACCCACTGCCAATATCCTGAATGGGGAAAAGCTGAAAGCTTTTACTTTAAGAACAGAAACTAGACAAGGATGGCCACTCTCACCACTCCTATTCAACATAGTGTTGGAAGTACTAGCCAGAGCAATCAGAGAAGGAAATTAAAGGCATCCACATTGGAAAAGATGAAATGAAACTGTCCCTGTTTGCAGATGACATGATCCTATATATGGAACAGCTTAAAGCCTCAATGAAAAAACTCTTGGAGTTGATAAATAATTTTGGCAAAGTTGCAGGATACAAAACCAACACACAAAAATCAGTAGCATTTCTATTCTCTAATAGTGAATATGCAGGAAGAGAAATCAAGAAAGCCTGCCCATTAACAACAGCCACCAAAAAAATAAAATACTTAAGAATAGAGTTAACCAAGGAGTTGGTGAAAAATCTTTATAATGAGAACTACAAACCACTCCTGAGAGAAATTAGAGAGGAAACAAAAAGATGGAAAGATATCCCATGCTCTTGGATTGGAAGAATCAACATAGGGAAAATGTCCATACTACCCAAAGTGATATACAAATTCAATGCAATCCCCATCAAAATTTCAATGACATTTTTCTCAGAAATGGAAGGAACTATCCAGACATTTATATGGAATAATAAAAGACCACGCATAGCCGAAACAATTCTGAGCAAAAAAAATAAAGCTGGAGGCATAACAGTACCTGACTTTAAACCATACTACAAAGTTATAAAAACCAAAACAACATGGTATGGGCATAAAAACAGACACACTGATCAATGGAACAGAATAGAGAATCCAGAAATGAACCCACACACCTACAGCCATCTGATCATTGACAAAGGCACCAAGCCTATACACTGGGGAAGAGACTGCCTCTTCAGCAGATGGTGCTGGGAAAAGTGGATATCCATATGCATGAGAATGAAACTAGACCCATACCTCTTACCATATACTAAAATTAACTCAAAATGGATTAAAGAATTAAATGTACACCCTGAAACAATAAAACTGCTTAAAGAAAACATAGCAGAAACACTTCAGGAAGTAGGACTGGGCACAGACTTCATGAATACAACCCCAAGGTACAGGAAGCCAAAGGAAAAATAAACAAATGGGATTATATCAAACTAAAAAGCTTCTGCACAGCAAAAGAAACAATTAACAGAGTTAAAAGACAACCAAAAGAGTGGGAGAAAATATTTGCAAAATATACATCTGACAAAGGATTAATATCCAGAATATACAAGGAAATAAAACAACTTTATGACAAAAAAACAAGTAACCCAATTAAAAAATGGGCAAAAGAGCTAAATAGGCATTTCTCAAAGGAAGATATACGAATGGCCAATAGACACATGAGAAAATGCTCAGCATCACTCAGCATTCAGGAAATCCAAATCAAAACCACACTGAGATACCATCTCGCCCCAGTTAGGATGGCTAATATCCGAAAGACTGTGAATGATAAATGCTGGCAAGATTGCGGAGAGAAAGGAGCTATCATTCGTTTTTGGTGCGACTGCAAAATGGTGGAGCCTCCATGGAAAATGGTATGGAGGTTCCTCAAACAATTGCAGATATATCTACCATATGACTCAGCTATCCCAATGCTGGGAATATATCCAGAGGAATGGAAATCATCACGTTGAAGGTATACCTGTTCTCCAGTGTTCATTGCAGCACTATTTGCAATTGCTAAGAGTTGGAACCAGCCCCAGTGTCCATCATCAGATAAGTGGATATGGAAAATGTGGTATATCTACACAATGGAATACTACTCTGCTGTAAAAAAGAATGAAATACTGCCATTTGCAGCAACATGGATGGACCTAGAGAAAATTATATTAAATGAAACAAGTCAGGCATAGAAAGAGAAATATCACATGTTCTCATTTGTGGGAACTAAAAATAAATAAATAAATAAATACACAAATAATCTCGGGGTGGGGGTGTGAAGAAGACACAACACTTACAATTCCTTGAAGTTGATATGACAAGTGAACAGACATGAGGTTGTTGGGACGGAGGTGGGAGAGAGAGGTTTGGTCACAATGATCAACCACATTGTATACTGACAAAATAAAATAAAATTTAAAAAAAAAAAAAAAAGAAGAAGAAAAGCCCACTTCCTTACTATGACTTTCAAAGCTTAACATGATCTGGCCTCCTTTGACCTCTCTAGATTAGATTTCCTACTTCGCTCTTCCTCATTCATTCCACTCCAGCACCACTGTTCTCCTTGCTGTTCTTCCTACACGTCAGACATGTTTCTACCTTTGGGCCTTTAAATTCTCTGTTCCCTATACCTGGAGTGCTCTTCACTCAGATACACATAGATGCACTCCTTCACTTACTTCAAGTCTGCATCAGTGTCACTTTTCCAGTGAGAATTAGCCTGTGTGCCCCAAGTCACCAACCCATCTGTCATTCAAATTCCCCACTATCCTGCCATAGGATGTATAACTTTCTAATATGTTGTACAATTTATTTATTTATTATTTTTTATCATTTATTGTCTTTCCCTACCCAAATGAAAGTTCCATTCAGGCAGGTGTTTTTATCTGTTTTGTTCACTAATAGATGGATAAATAAATCATGAAACAAAGTAATTTGCTTTAAATGAAATGGATACTTAGTTCAAGTTTCATTCTGTAGGGGAAAAATTTAAGGAACAGTTTGACTTGCAGTTTGACTTGTATAAGGTCAAACAGTCGGTAAGGAGCAGAATAAAAGCATAAGTCCTTGGCCCCAAACCTAGGTTTTTTTCACCAGGGCACACTGGTGGAATGTAAGAGAATACATATAAAAAGAAATTTTAAAAATAAGCAAACAAACAAGCATACACACACATAAACACAGAGACAAAGACATACCTCACATTAAAATATTACCAGTGCACAGTAATAGTATTACACAAGGTAATTATATGCCTGCAAAGAAAATTTATTACTTACCTCTACCTCAGATTTTTTCGATGATATCTGTGTCACAGTTTCTTTGAATTTATTTGCCTTTTCAAGTTGAGCTTTAAGTTGTTCAGCTAATTCCTTCAAAAAGAAAACCAGGTGAAATAAGTGTAATATGCAGTTTAATTCTTTACTACAGAATATTTTCAAATTTACACAACAGAAAGGAAAAGAGCATAACTAACACTCATGTAACCATCACTTAACTTCAATTACCAACTTAAGGCCTAGTATATTACTGTCTAATGAACTTATCTCAGTTACACACTTCTCAAATACCTGTGATATTTGTTCATGCTTTGAAAATAAATAACGTGATATTTGTTGCTTTGAAAATAAATAAGTACAAGGACATATATTTTGGGGGAGACGAGGAGATGGAGGAAATACATAATCTTAAGAATGACATTTTTGCAAGTAGATATTATAAATTTCCAATACTTACAAGCTCAGTTATTTGTAACAAGGAAGCCATCACAAGATTTGAAATATTACCTTCTTTACTATTGATAAATAATTTAGATAAAAATACTGAATAGAATTCATTTTTACTCTATGAAGCCCATAGCAATTTATGTAAACAACTACCATATAAAGCAATAAACCACAAAGTAATAAATTAAATAAGCAGATCTATGTGACAAGCAAAGGACAGCATGCTCCACTGCAGTGGTTCCATGAACACAGGAACTCCTATTTTTAACCTCCTACCTAGGTGACCTCTCTTTCACTATTTTAGGCGGCTACTCTGTACTACTTTGAGTAGTACTTACTACTTTGAGTTTGTTTCAAAACTCAAACTTCATTTTCTTGCTTTAGTCACTGTCGTTGATTTACCTCTTTTACCTCTTGCTATTGTTGTCGCATTTCTGGGGTGAGTCGAAGTTCAGGGTTACCAAAGACCAGATTCAAAGAGAAAGAGCATATGCCAGACATGCCTTTTATTAGACATACAAACTAATAAAAATAGAAATATTGTGTTTGGCTACCATTTATTCTACTCAGAGTATATCAAAACTGAACTTAATGATCACTTATAATTGTGTGTAAGATGAGTGCATATGTATAACCATGAGTGAATCTTTCTATCAAGACACGGAATGGTATCTGGCTGTGCTATTCTGCCACGTGCACTTTAATAAAAGGGTACTTCAAAAAGTTTGTGGCAGAAAAGAATTAAAAGATAATACAAATATTTCCATGAACTTCTGGAAGTACCCTCATATATATATTATTATATATTATTTTAACAAGCATGTGACAATGTAATAAATGAATAAATGAATGAATGCAGTTCATTTGTAGTCATCCCTATTTCTATTCAATTCTGAGGTAAATCGGTCTTAAGTCAAACATTATTATGGGAATTAAATGAGCTAACCTGTACAAAGCATTGAACACAACAGGCACAAAAACACTGCCTTAAAAATTGAATACATGAATTAATCATGCTTTTCTAGGAACTCAATTTTTATGTTCTTAAGTAATTGAAGAAAGTAATATATGTTCCTAATAATATATAACTAAAATTAGGAAAGAAGCCAGTGACATCTTTATCTCCTTCAAATATGCTCAATAAGTTAGAAATGTAAGAATAAAAAGCAAATAACAAAGTAAAAAAGAAATTAAAAAGCACATAGTTCCCTAAGGATCTTAAATTTCAGAAATCTGATGGAGAAAGTAATTTATTTAGAAATTGACACATAGTACTGTTTCTAGAAATGCTCGAGAATTTCTTAAAAGAATCAATAAGCAGCAGTTATTTTCACTGTGTGCTACATCCACACTGCTTCTAAAATTACTCATAAGAAGTTAAATATTTAATCACTATTCTCTAAAAGAACAAAATATAAGAGTCTCACCACATTCCCCATCATCTCTGCCTTGATAATCTTGGCTCCCAACTTGTTCTTCTCATCAACACTCAGGATGTGGATGGACTCATCCTCTGGACTACTGGTGGAACAGGAAAGTTCTTAAGAGCATATGAAATGTATGTATAATGCATAATTACATCCTATTTTCCCATTAAAATTTACTCTCTTTAAAACACACACACACACATGCACACACAACACTGGCTAAAAACTTCAGAGGAAGAAGCAATTAAAAGGGCTCCCGCTCAATGATATTTCAGAAACCTTGAGTATACTGCAATTATTCTTTTTGTGCTGGCAGTGTCCATAGATCTCCCTTTAATTATTCTTTTCTTATCACTTGTTCTCACAACTTTCCCTATACAACTTACCTGGGCCCTGTTCCCCCTAATCTTATCCCAGAAGAGCTCATTATCCCTTCATGTGTGTAAGTTCCATAACTATAAGTATCTATACTTATACCTGTAATAAAGCATCATGGCAATTATGTACCATATTCATTCACATCTATATGACTGCGTCTCTTGTACTGTGAGTTCTTTGAAGGCAGATACTATGTCATAATTATTTTTATTCCACCAGGACTAGGAAATAGAAGCATTCAGTAAATACAATAAAAAATGAGTAACACAATGAATTTATCAAAGTCATCTAACTTAAATTCCAAGGGACAACTGTGATGTGAAAATAACTTCCTCTTGTTACTTCATTCCTTGACACACCAGTCCAGACATATTTTTTCAAATCTGAATGAGTGTAAGAAACACGTCGTTTCCCAAATTTTCAGTATCCAAAGATCACTCAAGGGAAATATGATATGCACATGGAACAATAATTTTAGGTTAATTTTGTTCCAAAGGTTCATCAAAATTTGAGGGTAAAAATAAGCTAAAAACAGTAAGAGTCATAACAACGGCAGGATATTTCAATTTTGTGAGCTATATGTGAACTATATTATTGCATCACTTTTTTTTCTTTTTCCCTGAAGTAACCAAACTCATCATGGTCCATGCATAGACCAAGAGGATCACCAATATTCTGGGGGTCATATATTGAAAAACACCGACCTAAGTCATCAAGAAAGAATTCCTAAATTTTCTCCCCTGTCACCCACAATCTGTAGCCATACGTTCCTCTTCTTTTAACATTTCCACCCAAGGCTAATCCTTCTCTTTCCCTTTTGGGCTATAATAACAAACTCTGCCAAGAATGACATTCCAAGGCTAAAATATTTTATAAAATGGGTTGGTTTCTGATATTAAATTTACAAAATCTAAATTAAGGACATCACTTTAATTTTTGTTCGTATTACATACTACCGTAGGTTTCAAATTCCTGAAAGTACTAAACTAATTTATTTTCCAACAAAAGAAAAACATAAGCAAGCACATTTCATTTCTATAAAAAATAAGCTTAAAGTTCTTAACCATATGGGCTACTACTGGAGGATGTTTTCCTACTAGTTAAAATAATCACAGGGCCTAAAAAGAACAAAGGAAAAGGATGATAAATTTGATCACATTAAAGAAAAAATAAAAGAATGGATTAAAAAAGAAAAAGGAAGGCAAATTACAAATGATGAAGAAACTATTTGCATTACATGACAACGATAAAGAGCTCTTGCAAATAAAGAACACAAAAAGCATGCAAAACAAGTCTAGTAAACAAAAACAGAAATAAAAATAAACACATAAAAATACAGCCAATTTCATTCACACTTAAAGAAAAAAAAACAAGGAACAAGTCTGTTTCTCAACTATGTATATGACCAAGATTTTTTTCAAGTTCAATATACTATCAGCAAGGAAGTAGGAGAAATGTCATTCTCATATATGACTGTAAGAATGTAAATTGGTAAATACAAAAAAACATATTAAAAGTAAAATGCACACATTCTTTGACCTGATAATTACACTCCTTGGAATTTATTTTACAGATATATTTCAATAGTGTGCAAAGACACACATAAAAACTTCATTGCAGCCTTGTTTGTAATAGCAACAAAGTGGAAACAACCTAAAAGTCCATTAATAGGAGACTGGTGAGAAATATTAGGTTATACCTAAGTTTAACATCAGAATATTAAAGAGCTTTTAAAATAAAATAGGTAGATACATATGGGCTAATGTGAAAAGAACTTTAAGATATAATGATTGGAAAAAACAAGATTCAGAATAAAACATGCATTATGAAGATATTAAATTTATATATGTTATGTATGTATATAATTTTATATGCTAAGTATATAAATTACACACATTCAAATGCACTAAAAAAATCTGGAAAGACACTGTTAACACTATTAACCTGGCAAGTGGGATTAGGGTTGAGGGTGACAAGAAAGAGAGACTTTTTCAATTTATGCTCTTCTGCCTTCACTGTTTAAATTTTATACACATGCATTTACTATCTACTTGATTACAAATGGCTTAATGTTTTAAAACTATTAAAGTAGCAAGAAAGGTAAACATAAATGAATGATACATATAAAGGAATAAAACCAATTCAACTAATTTCTCTATTACTATTCATATGAGACAAAGATATTAGTTGTTACAACTTTTCCACAGTCTGGTAGATTGACCTATGGTACATTCCAACACCCAATTTACAAGAGACTAAAAGTATTTTCCAGTCATCACTGAAAATGTTTCACTTTTTGCAGCTTATCTATCTTTTTTCCTCTCTCCTATGCCACTAATTGGTCAACTCTTCTCATATTCTACCAAAATTACTCTTACAAAAGATATCAATAACTTTTCCATAATCAGCGCATAAAAGAAAAGGGTCTTTTTCCCAAAGAAAATTCATGGTTCTACTTTTAATCTTATTCAAAACCACACTAAATGGGCATCAGAAGACATGAAGACTAATCGAAGCCTTGCAAATAACTAATAATATTAATAGCAACAACAGCTAAGATTTATGGAGCACTTACTATGAACCAGATACTATGCTAAATTTAAATTTTAGGTAAATGGCAAATACTTTTTAGCATAAGTATGTCCAAATATTGCAAGAGACTTATTATTTTTTATTAAAAAATCTGGAAACCCTATTTACATAATACATTGTGTGAGTCATGACTTTAGCTCCCTCAGTTTCTACATATACAAAATACAAGGATCAGACTGATTTCTTCTATTTCTAAAATCAATTCTGTGATTTTTTTTTCTAGTTCTAAAATTCATTCATTCTAAAACTCCTCAGAATTTTGGTATTTTATTTTCAAAAACCAACATATTCCCAGGATAATAAAATTAACAGCTTCTAACAATCTTTCACTGAATCTTTCTAAGCAGTCTTGAAAGTTCTATCTTGGTCTCTTACTTTACACCACTCTACATGCTCAGCAATCTTTTTTTTTCATTCAAATATAGTAGATGATTCCCAGATTTTCTTTCCTTCTCCAGACAATCACAGAATTCATGAAAAGCCTCAAACCCTCTGTAACATCAAAATTCACGCATATAACAAAGAATACTGTCTTCAAACCAAAACACACACACACATATATACACAAACACAGCTTTTTGTGAGTGCTTATATTACAGTATACCTATCAGAAGCTTACAATTTGAATAAGACACACAAATATGAAGCAATCAGACAACCAGATGAAATACTAACAACGTTAAGATTGATTTGCATACTCTGCTTAGCTACAGTCACAAAAGTCAAGATCTAGTGATCGTCCACATGCTAAATCAACCCTAATGATATCAGGAAATAAGAGCTTCATCCCACTAGCAACTGGGAACTAGAAATAGTGTGCCATCCAGGATAGCTAGAGTGAAGCCTGGACAATTGTATATGAACACAGTCTTAGACATTCTCTAATCCCTTCCTTGCTTATTCAGCCAATACAACTGGATTTCTCCTTCAGTTTCCTAGGAGCAAAGCCCTGACCTGAACCAGAGCTCATCTGACTGGGGCTCAATCACTCAGTCTAGATTTTGCTGGCTCCCTCCCCTCCCATAGAAAGTTACACTCACTCAGTCTAGATTTTGCTGGCTCCCTCCCATAGAAAGTTACACACTGTGCTTTATAATCCAGTGCTTCAGATGGAGTCGTTAACAAAAGCGATTTATCAGAATCGTGACCCCAAACCACAATGCTTATATCTACTACTACCATTGATTTTTATGATTTCCTAAAATGCCTTCCTTTAGTGTCCCACTCATTTTTAACACCATTTAATGATCATTCAAGTATATGTTTGTCATTATCCTTGGACACATTTTTTATGTCTGGCTACCTCCAACAGGGCCAGCCCTAAAGCTAAATCAAGCTTTCCTAGCTTTGATCCCACTCATCCTGAGTTTCCTCATCTTCTGACACAGACCTATATAAGTGCAACAATAAAAAAAACAGTAAGTGCCATCTATTTTCCTAATCATTATGGGTACAATCATTATCCTACCCTTATTTTACATTTAAAACCCTAACATTATCTTTAAAATCTGCCATTTGCCCAACATGGATTATTGCTTTTTCTGCAAAACAACAACCATAATTCATGGTTCCCTCTGCAGGATCTTTCACCTGTATTTGTCACTTCATATCGGGTTACAGAAGCATATTTTCCTTCAGTCTCCTATACCTCCTATAGACATGCAGTATTTATAATTATGATTACACTTAACAATGGGGTAATTTCCTTAAAATGTAATAGGGCACTGACAACAAAATCTACTCAAATTTCTCCTGAAGCCCATCCATTTAAAAGATTCACTCATTCCAGTTTTTAAATTGCAAAAAAGCAATGAATTTTGAGGAAATAGTGCTACTGAATTCCTCCAGCTCTTTTAAAAATAGAAGTGAAAAAAAAAAATACAATCCACAAAACAATATTACTGTATTGCTAAATCTGCCTATCTTATCTCTTCCATCAATTTTAAGAAATAGACCATACTCGGATCTAATTAACAAATGATATTCTGAAAATATTGTTCAGTTCTTTGAATCTTCTGAACCCTAATATTCATTTATCACAGTAAAAAAACAAATGATAAAATACCCAGCAAATGTAGACTTTGTGTCACTTCTCAGGCTTTCATCTTCTGATTTTTCTCTCATGTCCTCTGAAATATGTTGGTGCCTCTGGAATATGTTGGTGTTCAACACTGCTACTGGTTTCCAGTGGCTTTTGATTTGAATGTTTCTTGTCTCCTTCTCTCCCATTAGATTGACTCCATGATGTTAAACTCTCTTCACGGTTCTCAGTGGGTTTTCGAAAACCACAACGCAAAGAACCCTGAGCTACCAATGCTGAAGGTAAACTAGATGGTTGAAAATTTCTGCCCTTGCTGCGAAATGACAGTTCTTCATCATCAGAGGGTCTTAAGAATTTATGTCTCAAATTACCTGGAGAAGAAAGCTCTTGATTTTGCCTTGGGTTGGATTCTCTTCCAC